AACTCTCACAAATACATTCAATCATGAACACAAATATCTATGTATGTACATATATACATATGCCAAACCTTATACGCAAGAATTAAAGCAGTCATTTGTCAATGAAATTGTGTTTGATAGGTTTTACCCACTACAAAGTAATGTATTGTAAGATGGATTGTAGCAAGGGTAACAATTTTTTAAGAAAAAAACTGAAAAAAAAAAGTGACTTGAAAAATGTACAATACTAAAAAAAAAAAAAAAGAAAAAAAACATAACAATTCATTATGTTTTTATGTCTGCCTCACTATCAGATCTTTCCACTTCTTGCAACTCCCCACCATCAATCTCTTCTCTATCCTTCATACTTGTCTTCAGTTCCTGATAAATTCTCAGATTGAAAAACAAAATTGAAAAAATTTCAGCTAATAAAAATTGTGTGAGTGAGAGAGGAGATAACAAAGAGAGGGAGAGATTAATAAGAAAATAAAGAATAATAAAAAGAGTGAAAGAAGTAAGAGATGAAAAAAGAAGAGAAAGGAAGAAGTCTTCTTTTAAGTGATATGGGCCATCATGGCTCACTTCAGTTTTCTATCTATTGAAGCTGTAAGGAATTTTTTCCTTTTTTTTTTCTTTTAAAAAAAAAAAAATGATTCTTCTTTGTAGCAACTCTAGCATTCACCCACACCAAGAGCTCAGCCTGGTTATTTGGTGTTTCCTTCTGCCTTACCTGTAAAGTAATAGGAAAGAAAAATATAAAATAGGAGGAGAGGGGGAAAAGAAACACCGACACATGAGAAAGGGGAAAAGAAGCCGCCAAAGTAGGGGAAAAAAGACGGAAGAAGACGCCAAAGCAGGGGAAAAAAAAAGGAAGAAGACGCCAAAGCAGGGGAAAAAAAAGGAAGAAGACGCCAAAGTGGGGGTAAAAAAAGGAAGAAGACGACAAAATAGGAAAAAAAAAGGAAGACGCCAAAGAAGAGGGGGAAAAAAAAGGTAGACACCAAAGTAAGGAGAAAAAAAAGAAAGACACCTAAGTAGGGGGAAAAAAGGAAGACACCTAAGTAGGAGGAAAAAGGGAGACAACTAAGTAGGGGGAAAAAAAAGAAAGAAGACGGCAAAGTAGAAGGAAAAAAAAAGGAAGAAGACGCCAATGTATGGGGGGGGAAAAGGAAGAAGACGCCAATGTATGGGGGGGGAAAAGGAAGAAGACGCCAATGTACAGGGGAAAAAAAAGGAAGAAGACGCCAAAGTAGGGGGAAAAAAGGAAGACATCAAAGTAGGGGGAAAAAAGGAAGACATCAAAGTAGGGGGAAAAAAGGAAGACATCAAAGTAGGGGAAAAAAAGGAAGACACCAAAGTAGGCGAATAAAAAAGAAAATATCAAAGTAGGGTGAAAAAAAAGGAAAATGTCAAAGTAGGGGCAACAAGGAAGAAGACGCCAAAGTAGGGGAAAAAAAGGAAGAAGATGCCAAAGCAGGAGAAAAAAAAAGGAAGAAGACGCCAAAGCAGGAGAAAAAAAAAGAAGAAGACCCCAAAGCAGGAGAAAAAAAAAAGGAAGAAGACCCCAAAGCAGGAGAAAAAAAAAAGGAAGAAGACCCCAAAGCAGGAGAAAAAAAAAGGAAGAAGACCCCAAAGCAGGAGAAAAAAAAGGAAGAAGACGCCAAAGCAGGAGAAAAAAAAGGGAAACATCAAAGTAGGAGAAAAAAAGGAAGACGCCAAAGTAAGAAAAAAAAAAGGCACCAAAGTAGGGGGGAAAAAAAGTAAGACACCAAAGTAGGGGGGAAAAGGAAGACACCAAAGAAGAGGGGAAAAGGAAGACACCAAAGAAGAGGGGGGAAAGGAAGACACCAAAGAAGAGGGGGAGAGGAAGACACCAAAGAAGGGGGGGGAAGGAAGACGATGCCAAAGCAGGAGAAAAAAAAGGAGACACCAAAGTAGGGAAAAAAGGAAGACATTAAAGTAGGGGGAAAAAAAAGGAAGACATCAAAGTAGGGGGAAAAAAAAGGAAGACATCAAAGTAGGGGAAAAAAAAAAGGAAGACATCAAAGTAGGGGGAAAAAAAGGAAGACATCAAAGTAGGGGGAAAAAAGGAAGAAGACATCAAAGTAGGGGAAAAAAGGAAGAAGACATAAAGGAGGGGGGAAAAGGAAGAAGACGCCAAAGTAGGGGGAAAAAGGAAGAAGACTCCAAAGTAGGGGGGAAAAAGGAAGAAGACACCAAAGAAGGGAAAAAGGAAGACGCCAAAGTAGGGGGGAAAAGGAAGAAGACGCCAAAGTAGGGGAAAAAGGAAGAAGACGCCAAAGTAGGGGAAAAAGGAAGAAGACGCCAAAGTAGGGGAAAAAGGAAGAAGACGCCAAAGTAGGGGAAAAAGGAAGAAGACGCCAAAGTAAGAGAAAAAAAAGGAAGAAGATGCCAAAGTAGGTGGAAAAAAAAAGACGCCAAAGTAGGTGGAAAAAAAACCGAAGAAGACTCAAAAGTAAGGGGAAAAAAGGAAGAAGACGTCAAAGTAAGAGGAAAAAAAGGAAGAAGACGTCAAAGTAAGAGGAAAAAAAGGAAGAAGACGTCAAAGTAAGAGGAAAAAAAGGAAGAAGACGTCAAAGTAAGAGGAAAAAAAGGAAGAAGACGCCAAAATAAGAGGAAAAAAAAGGAAGAAGACGCCAAAATAAGAGGAAAAAAAAGGAAAAAGACGCCAAAATAATAGGAAAAAAAAGGAAGAAGACGCCAAAATAAGAGGAAAAAGAAGGATGAAGACGCCAAAATAAGGGGAAAAAGAAGGAAGAAGACGCCAAAATAAGGGGAAATAAAAAGAAGACACCAAAGTAGGTGGAAAAAATGTAGACACCAAAGCAGGGGGAAAAAATGTAGACACCAAAGTAGGGGGAATAAAAGGAAGACACCAAAGTAGGGGGGAATAAAAGGAAGACACCAAAGTAGGGGGAATAAAAGGAAGACACCAAAGTAGGGGGAATAAAAGGAAGACACCAAAGTAGGGGGAATAAAAGGAAGACACCAAAGTAAGTAAAAAAAGGAAGGCACCAAAGAAGGGTGGGAAAGGAAGACACCAAAGTAGGGGGGAAAGAAAGACACCAAAGTCGGGGGAAAAAAAGAAAGACACCAAAAGTCGGGGGGGAAAAAGAAAGACACCAAAAAGAGGGGGAAAAAGAAAGACACCAAAGTCGGGGGAAAAAAGAAAGACACCAAAGTCGGGGGGGGAAAAAAAGAAAGACACCAAAGTCGGGGGGGAAAAAAGAAAGACACCAAAGTCGGGGGGGAAAAAAAAGAAAGACACCAAAGTCGGGGGGGAAAAAAAAGAAAGACACCAAAGTCGGGGGGAAAAAAAAGAAAGACACCAAAGTCGGGGGGAAAAAAAAGAAAGACACCAAAGTCGGGGGGAAAAAAGGAAGAAGACGCCAAAGTAGAGGGAAAAAAGGAAGAAGACGCCAAAGTAGAGGGAAAAAAGGAAGAAGACGCCAAAGTAGAGGGAAAAAAGGAAGAAGACGCCAAAGTAGGGAGAAAAAGGAAGAAGACGCAAAAGTAGGGGGAAAAAAGGAAGAAGACGCCAAAGTAGGGGGAAAAAAGGAAGAAGACGCCAAAGTAGGGGGAAAAAAGGAAGAAGACACCAAAGTAGGGGGAATAAAAGGAAGACACCAAAGTAGGAGAATAAAAGGAAGACACCAAAGTAGGAGAATAAAAGGAAGGCACCAAAGTAAGAAAAAAAGGAGACACCAAAGTCGGGGGAAAAAAGAAAGACACCAAAGTCAGGGGAGAAAAAGAAAGACACCAAAGTCGGGGGGAAAAAAGAAAGACACCAAAGTCGGGGAAAAAAAGGAAGAAGATGCCAAAGTAGAGGGAAAAAAGAAAGAAGACGCCAAAGTAGGGGAAAAAAAGGAAGAAGACGCCAAAGCAGGAGAAAAAAAAGAAGAAGACCCCAAAAGCAGGAGAAAAAAAAAAGGAAGAAGACCCCAAAGCAGGAGAAAAAAAGGAAGAAGACCCCAAAGCAGGAGAAAAAAAAAGGAAGAAGACCCCAAAGGAGAAAAAAAGGAAGAAGACGCCAAAGCAGGAGAAAAAAAAGGAAACATCAAAGTAGGAGAAAAAAAAGGAAGACATAAAGTAAGAAAAAAAAAGGCACCAAAGTAGGGGGAAAAAAAGTAAGACACCAAAGTAGGGGGGAAAAGGAAGACACCAAAGAAGAGGGGGGGAAAGGAAGACACCAAAGAAGAGGGGGGGAAAGGAAGACACCAAAGAAGAGGGGGGAAAGGAAGACACCAAAGAAGAGGGGGGAGAGGAAGACACCAAAGAAGGGGGGGAAGGAAGACGATGCCAAAGCAGGAGAAAAAAAAGGAGACACCAAAGTAGGAGAAAAAAGGGAAGACATTAAAGTAGGGGAAAAAAGGAAGACATCAAAGTAGGGGGAAAAAAAAAGGAAGACATCAAAGTAGGGGGAAAAAAAAAGGAAGACATCAAAGTAGGGGGAAAAAAAAAGGAAGACATCAAAGTAGGGGGGAAAAAAAGGAAGAAGACATCAAAGTAGGGGGGAAAAAAAGGAAGAAGACATAAAGGAGGGGGGAAAAAGGAAGAAGACGCCAAAGTAGGGGGGAAAAAAAGGAAGAAGACTCCAAAGTAGGGGAAAAAGGAAGAAGACACCAAAGAAGGGGAAAAAGGAAGACGCCAAAGTAGGGGAAAAAGGAAGAAGACGCCAAAGTAGGGGAAAAAGGAAGAAGACGCCAAAGTAGGGGAAAAAGGAAGAAGACGCCAAAGTAGGGGAAAAAGGAAGAAGACGCCAAAGTAGGGGGAAAAGGAAGAAGACGCCAAAAAGTAGGGAAAAAAAGGAAGAAGACGCCAAAAGGAAAAAAAGAAAAAAAAAAGAAGAAGCAAAAGTAGGTGGAAAAAAAAAGACGCCAAAGTAGGTGGAAAAAACCGAAGAAGACGTCAAAGTAAGAGGAAAAAAAGGAAGAAGACGTCAAAGTAAGAGGAAAAAAGGAAGAAGACGTCAAAGTAAGAGGAAAAAAAGGAAGAAGACGTCAAAGTAAGAGGAAAAAGGAAGAAGACGTCAAAAGTAAGAGGAAAAAAAGGAAGAAGACGCCAAAATAAGAGAAAAAAAAAGGAAGAAGACGCCAAAATAAGAGGAAAAAAAAGGAAAAAGACGCCAAAATAATAGGAAAAAAAAGGAAGAAGACGCCAAAATAAGAGGAAAAAGAAGGATGAAGACGCCAAAATAAGGGGAAAAAGAAGGAAGAAGACGCCAAAATAAGGGGAAATAAAAAGAAGACACCAAAGTAGGTGGAAAAAATGTAGACACCAAAGCAGGGGGAAAAAATGTAGACACCAAAGTAGGGGGAATAAAAGGAAGACACCAAAGTAGGGGGAATAAAAGGAAGACACCAAAGTAGGGGGAATAAAAGGAAGACACCAAAGTAGGGGGAATAAAAGGAAGACACCAAAGTAGGGGGAATAAAAGGAAGACACCAAAGTAAGTAAAAAAGGAAGGCACCAAAGAAGGGTGGGAAAGGAAGACACCAAAGTAGGGGGGGAAAGAAAGACACCAAAGTCGGGGGGAAAAAAAAAAACACCAAAGTCGGGGGGAAAAAGAAAGACACCAAAGTCGGGGGAAAAGAAAGACACCAAAAGTCGGGGGGGAAAAAAAGAAAGACACCAAAGTCGGGGGGGAAAAAAAGAAAGACACCAAAGTCGGGGGGGGAAAAAAGAAAGACACAAAGTCGGGGGGGGAAAAAAAGAAAGACACCAAAGTCGGGGGAAAAAAGAAAGACACCAAAGTCGGGGGAAAAAAAAAGAAAGACACCAAAGTCGGGGGAAAAAAAAGAAAGACACCAAAGTCGGGGGGGAAAAAGGAAGAAGACGCCAAAGTAGAGGGAAAAAGGAAGAAGACGCCAAAGTAGAGGGAAAAAGGAAGAAGACGCCAAAGAGGGAAAAAGGAAGAAGACGCCAAAGTAGGGAGAAAAGGAAGAAGACGCAAAAAAGGGGGAAAAAGGAAGAAGACGCCAAAGTAGGGGAAAAAGGAAGAAGACGCCAAAGTAGGGGGAAAAAGGAAGAAGACACCAAAGTAGGGGGAATAAAAGGAAGACACCAAAGTAGGAGAATAAAAGGAAGACACCAAAGTAGGAGAATAAAAGGAAGGCACCAAAGTAAGAAAAAAAAGGAGACACCAAAGTCGGGGGGAAAAAAAGAAAGACACCAAAGTCGGGGAGAAAAAAAGAAAGACACCAAAGTCGGGGGGGAAAAAAGAAAGACACCAAAGTCGGGGGAAAAAAAGGAAGAAGATGCCAAAGTAGAGGGAAAAAAAGAAAGAAGACGCCAAAGTAGGGAGAAAAAAAAAGGAAGAAGACGCCAAAGCAGGAGAAAAAAAAAGAAGAAGACCCCAAAGCAGGAGAAAAAAAAAAGGAAGAAGACCCCAAAGCAGGAGAAAAAAAAAAAGGAAGAAGACCCCAAAGCAGGAGAAAAAAAAAAGGAAGAAGACCCCAAAGCAGGAGAAAAAAGGAAGAAGACGCCAAAGCAGGAGAAAAAAAGGAAACATCAAAGTAGGAGAAAAAAAGGAAGACGCCAAAGTAAAAAAAAAAAAGGCACCAAAGTAGGGGGAAAAAGTAAGACACCAAAAGGGGGGGAAAAGGAAGACACCAAAGAAGAGGGGGGAAAGGAAGACACCAAAGAAGAGGGGGGGAAAGGAAGACACCAAAGAAGAGGGGGGAAAGGAAGACACCAAAGAAGAGGGGGAGAGGGAAGACACCAAAGAAGGGGGGAAGGAAGACGATGCCAAAGCAGGAGAAAAAAAAAAAAGGAGACACCAAAGTAGGAGAAAAAAGGGAAGACATTAAAGTAGGGGAAAAAGGAAGACATCAAAGTAGGGGGAAAAAAAGGAAGACATCAAAGTAGAAAAAAAAAAAAGGAAGACATCAAAGTAGGGGGAAAAAAAGGAAGACATCAAAGTAGGGGAAAAAAAAAGGAAGAAGACATCAAAGTAGGGGGAAAAAGGAAGAAGACATAAAGGAGGGGGAAAAAAGGAAGAAGACGCCAAAGTAGGGGGAAAAGGAAGAAGACTCCAAAGTAGGGGGAAAAGGAAGAAGACACCAAAGAAGGGAAAAAGGAAGACGCCAAAGTAGGGAAAAGGAAGAAGACGCCAAAGTAGGGGAAAAAAAAGAAGACGCCAAAAGGGGGAAAAGGAAGAAGAGCTAAAGGGGAAAAGGAAGAAGACGCCAAAGTAGGGGGAAAAGGAAGAAGACGCCAAAGTAGGGGAAAAGGAAGAAGACGCCAAAGTAAGAGAAAAAAAGGAAGAAGATGCCAAAGTAGGTGAAAAAAAAGACGCCAAAGTAGGTGGAAAAAACCGAAGAAGACTCAAAAGTAAGAGGAAAAAGGAAGAAGACGTCAAAGGAAAAAAGGAAGAAGAAAAAAAGGAAAAAAGAAGACGTCAAAGTAAGAGGAAAAAAAAGGAAGAAGACGTCAAAGTAAGAGGAAAAAAAAAGGAAGAAGACGCCAAAAAAAAGAAGGAAAAAAAGAAAAAGAAAAAAGAAAATAATAGGAAAAAAAGGAAGAAGACGTAAAAAATAAGAGGAAAAGAAGGATGAAGACGCCAAAATAAGGGAAAAAGAAGGAAGAAGACGCCAAAATAAGGGAAATAAAAAAGAAGACACCAAAGTAGGTGGAAAAAAAAATGTAGACACCAAAGCAGGGGGAAAAATGTAGACACCAAAGTAGGGGAATAAAAGGAAGACACCAAAGTAGGGGAATAAAAGGAAGACACCAAAGTAGGGGGAATAAAAGGAAGACACCAAAGTAGGGGGAATAAAAGGAAGACACCAAAGTAGGGGGGAATAAAAGGAAGACACCAAAGTAAGTAAAAAAAGGAAGGCACCAAAGAAGGGTGGGGAAAGGAAGACACCAAAGAGGGGGGGGAAAAGAAAGACACCAAAGTCGGGGGAAAAAAAAGAAAGACACCAAAGTCGGGGGGAAAAAGGAAGACATCAAAGTAGGGGAAAAAAAAAAGGAAGACATCAAAGTAGGGGGAAAAAAAAAGGAAGACATCAAAGTAGGGGAAAAAAAGGAAGACATCAAAGTAGGGGAAAAAAAAAGGAAGACATCAAAGTAGGGGAAAAAAAAGGAAGACATCAAAGTAGGGGGGAAAAAAGGAAGAAGACATCAAAGTAGGGGGAAAAAAGGAAGAAGACATAAAGGAGGGGGGGAAAAAGGAAGAAGACGCCAAAGTAGGGGGAAAAAGGAAGAAGACTCCAAAGTAGGGGAAAAAGGAAGAAGACGCCAAAGAAGGGGAAAAAGGAAGAAGACGCCAAAGAAGGGAAAAAGGAAGAAGACGCCAAAGAAGGGAAAAGGAAGAAGACGTGGGGGGAAAAAAGGAAGAAGACGCCAAAGAGGGGGAAAAAGGAAGAAGACGCCAAAGTAGGGGAAAAAGGAAGAAGACGCCAAAGTAGGGAGAAAAGGAAGAAGACGCCAAAGTAGGGAAAAAAGGAGAAGACGCCAAAGTATGGGGGAAAAGGAAGAAGACGCCAAAAGGGGGAAAAAAAAGGAAGAAGACGCCAAAGTAGGGGGAAAAAATCGAAAAAGACTCAAAAGTAAGGAGAAAAAAGGAAGAAGACGTCAAAGTAAGAGGAAAAAAAGGAAGAAGACGCCAAAGTAGGGAGAAAAATTAAGACGCCGCCAAAGTAGGGAGAAAAAGGAAGAAGACGCCAAAGTAGGGGAAAAAAAGGAAGAAGACGCCAAAGTAGGGGGAAAAAAGGAAGAAGACGCCAAAGTAGGGGGAAAAAAAAGGAAGAAGACGCCAAAGTAGGGGGAAAAAAATCGAAAAAGACTCAAAAGTAAGGAGAAAAAAGGAAGAAGACGTCAAAGTAAGAGGAAAAAAAGGAAGAAGACGCCAAAGTTGTGGAAAAAAAAAACGAAGACGACGCCAAAGTAGGGGAAAAAAGGAAGACGCCAAAGTAGGGGAAAAAAGGAAGAAGACGCCAAAGTAGGGAAAAAAAAGGAAGAAGACGCCAAAGTAGGGGGAAAAAAAAAGGAAGAAGACGCCAAAGTAGGGGGAAAAAATCGAAAAAGACTCAAAAGTAAGGAGAAAAAAGGAAGAAGACGTCAAAGTAAGAGGAAAAAAAGGAAGAAGACGCCAAAGTTGTGGAAAAAAAAAACGAAGACGACGCCAAAGTAGGGGAAAAAAGGAAGACGCCAAAGTAGGGGAAAAAAGGAAGACGCCAAAGTAGGGGAAAAAAGGAAGACGCCAAAGTAGGGGAAAAAAGGAAGACACCAAAGTAGGGGAAAAAAAAAGGAGACACCAATGTAGGCTAAAAAGAATTAAAAAAAAAAAAAAAGAAGGAAGAAGCTGTCATATTAGGAAAAAAAAAGAAGAAAAGCCATATTAGGGAAAAAGAAAATGAAGTAGAGAATATAGAGAGATGAAGTAGCAGAAAAGAAACCAAATGAATTATTAGGGAAACAAACGAAAATGAAGAAATATAAAAATGATAACATAAAAGAAACAAAAGATTTAAGTGAAAAATATTAGTGTAAAAGAAATTAAATGAGAATCTCTGAAAGAAAAAGGTAAGTGAGAAACTAACAGAAAAAAAACAATGAAAGAGAAAGACAGTGAAAGAAGAATCTGATGAAGATGAGGAAATAAAACAAAACTAAAATAAGAAAATTTTGGTAATGATAAAAAGATAAAGAGAAATACACAAGAGAGAAAGAAAGAAAATACTGAAAAGTGAGTGTCGGCATTAAAAATGAAAAATAATAAAAGATAAAATAATGAAAATTGGATGCAAATGAAAAAGTATTTAAGTGATGGTAAAAAGAAAAGGAGGACAAAGAAATAATAGAAATAAAAGTGGGAGAGACAGTGAGAGAGAGAGAGAGAGGAAGGCATACCAAATGCAAAAAAAGATGCCCATGTCAGAGAGCAATGCTCAACTTCTAGAAAAATGATACAAAATGGAAAAGATTTACTACAGAATTGCATAGGAAATTATATCACTGTCATTTAATTCCAAAATTTCATTTTCTTGGGAGCTTTTAAGTCATAAAAATATAATATACATTATTCTGCTTTCACAAGTAATTACGTGGTAGATGATACTCAGCTTTTGTGTGTGGACCTAATTACTGAAGGTGGTGATATATGTGTGTTTTATGTAGTAGTTTTGTTGAAGTTATATTTTGGAATACAGTTTAATTTAAGAAATTGTAGGATATATAGACTAATGTCATGAAAAAGTGCTTTCAAGTTGGTTGTTTGGTTGGTGACATATCAACCACTATAGGTTATTTAAAGCCAAAATATAAATGTTTTATACATAATATTATGCTTTCAACTACAAATATTTTGTAGACAATTTTATATTTTCAGAGTAAAAGTATGTTTTTTAAATATATATTTTGTAGTTCATAAAATATATTGTTGGTAATTTTACTATAAAAATGTATTTCTATAGTTTTTTTTAGTGTTGCATTGATTATTATTTTGCTATAAAAATGCACGGTTGATTTTTGTTTGAGAGTTCACTATTTGCCCATAGCTAAGACCCTACCATACTCCTCAAAATCTCCAATCTCCTGATCAGAGGCCTTGCTCTCGGATGTAGTTTATCGCTATACCCAGGATACTCTAACCATTGCATATATAGAGTTGATAAGAGCATAGACAGAAAGTAAGTAGTTACCAAAATCTTCATTTAGTATATGAACAGCAAAAGTAAATATAATATTATTTACATTATTTGGATTATTGTCCTCATCTTTGTTGCCATATTTATTACAATGTTTCAGCCATTGTATGCTCTGGCCTTCTTCAGGTAGTTGAAATATCAAACTGAACCCTTTATTTCGCTCCCTGGGGCAGACGGTTCTACTTCCACGTGCCATTTTTAATGGATGTCAGTTATCAGTTATCTCCTATTAATTTCCCTCTGAAAGTTCTCCACTGCCTTAACCGGGTATTGAACTCACACTCTTTGGGTCCTGTCACTGGATCAAACTAATGCCTTTATCCACTGTGCCATGTGTCCTCAAGGTTACTCAACAAATTCTTCATAAGAATAAAACCAAAGTATCTAAAGTTCAATAACATATTAGATTGCTGAGAATATTTTAATTTTTTAAATTACTGGGTAGTTAAAAAAAATTATATAAAAAAAAGTGTTCATGTTATATTTGTCAAATAATTGTTACATTTATGTCCCTCTTAGAAAAAATTCCCAAACTTATGTCTATCAAGTTTTGCTAACACATAAAAATCCCCATCTCCATGTCAAAAAAGGCTTTTCTGTGTTATTTTAAACTAAAAACTAAAAGAAAATAATATATTTCAAGTCAGATTAATCAAACTTTAAATCTTCCTCAAAAAAGTTTCATGAAAGTGTATTGAATTTCAGAATGATTTTTTTAATAAAGAGAATTACATTGTGTTGACAGATTTTTCAATGTGGATGATTTTACTGATGACAAAAACACTCATTCCAATCAATTTAAATTCAGCTTGAAATATAGCAAAGTATTGTGCTTGTTAAAAATATTCAATTTAAACTATTAGCTAGAAATTAAAACTAAAATGAAAGCTTAAAGAAAGATTTTTCATTTTTAAAAATGCATTTTAAACCTTAGGCATTACTTGTCATTGAAGTTACATGCTCCTGAAAAATTATTTCAGTTGAGCTCTTTGAATAAGTGCAAGTTTGTAAACAGTAACTATTACTGCTACTAATGCAACACTACTTGATAAAACAAATTAAGTTCTCTCAGTCATTGGTGTGTTTCTTCTTCAACTGATGCCAGTTCAGCCGGGTCTTGATCCTAGCAAGAGGCAACCTGAAGTCTAGCCACACTGATGACCTGTGATACAGCAAAACAGTCTGTGGATGACAATATATATATACATATATGTGTGTGTGTGTGTGTATGTTTTTCATTCAAAACACCTGACAACGAACTACATAATAAAGCTTTTTATTATATTTTTCTTGTTTTGTACAGTGATTTCCTTTTTGGACAATTCTTACACATTATGTCCCAAAAATAAATCACTTGTACAAATGAAAGAAACATAATAAAAACGCTTAATCACAGTGCCCAGTCAGTCATCTATAATGAAACCTGTATACAAGAGGGATTAAATAATATATATATATATATATATATATATATATATATATATATATATATATATATATATATATATATTAGTTGAAAATGATGGGAGAATCCATTATATATGGATATAGATAGATAGTTGCATGCATGCATGCACACACACATACATACATACATATATATATATATATATATATTATATAAAAACTTATGTACCGCATATCAGATATATGCATTATATATTATATATGCATAAAATACATATGAACAATATCAGTGAAAGTTTATTTTCCAAAAGAGAGTACAAATGTAAGGCATGGCACTTTCTTGTCATCTGAAAAAAATATTGTAATATTTCTGATAATTTTCTATACATGAATGCTTGTATTTTCAAAGATAATTTGTTGGCCTCTGATTTGTCAATCATCTATTTGTACTTTCTTTTACTCCAATAAAAATATTATAGTTTTATCATTCCAGAAAATTTAAAAAAAAGAAAAAAAAAATTTCTTGATATCAAATATCTTATCAAATCCTTTGTACATATTGAGTTAATAATTAATACAAATTCAGGCATGAACCTAATACAAAATTTAAAATCTTTACTTCTTAACCTTATTATCCTATATCCATTTGTAGATGGTTGACTAAGTTGCTGGTGATATGATTTAGCCATGTAAAATAATAGTTAAATGGTGAAATAAACAGGTTGAAGGCTAACAAAGAAGAAATTATAAAATAAATCAAAGTTCTTGCAGTACTATGGTTCCATGGTAACTCACAAGCATGACAAAGTATTTTCAGAAAGCCTAAAATTGAATATCTATGGTGTGTGGCACTGGCTGAGAATTTAGAGAATTAGCATTCCAGCCACGAGAGCAAGGTTAACATCTTACTATAGTTTATTGGTCAAGGTTGTAACTTCCTGATAATATCAGCTTCCCAGCATGTGACACCATTAGAAAATGCCTGAAAAACATAGCATGGGTTGACCAAAGACTTTTGAGTAAAATTAAATTGAC